CGACAAATTTAAAGGATTAAATCAATATGGTTTTCAAAATTAAAGAACCCAATTCAACAAATATCCAGAGCTCTATAAAAACACTTGGGAAAATTTCAAAGAATTCGAAGACATCATTCATTGATATGTTGTCTTCGAAGTAATTCAATGATTCGTACAAATTTAGACAAACAATTTTTTTTAAGAAACTAAAAGTTTGACTTGCGAAACAAACAAAAAATACTCAGATACTGCTTCGAAAAGCAAAAACTTTCCAACTGAGACCACCATACAAACCTTATGGTCCATCAGCTCATCTGCACTGGAGAACGTCGTTCGGCAAATGATGCAAATAGTCATCTGATGAGTTGCTTTAACGTGTCGGGATACTACGTGCTGACTGCTGAAAGTTTTCCCACAAATCGGGCAATCAGTTATGACAGCTAGTTTTGAGTTTTGGGATTTTTCGGCTGCATCTCTCTTGGGTTGCTTTCGTTTTCGTTTCTCACTGCCATTTGTACGGCAATTTTTAGTTTTGTTGACCGCTTTCTCAGACGCTTTCTTTGATGCTTTCTTTGTCGTTTTCTTAGACACTTTCTTTACCGCATTCTTATCTTGATGATACAAACGTTTATGCTTTTTAACATATTTTAAAGTTTTGAACTTTTGATTACATAAATCACACGAAAACTCCCTTTCCTTGCAAATGGCTAAATGCAGCGAATATCGTATAGACTTTTCGAATGTTTTTGGGCAGTGCGGACATCTATGCTTCGGTTCCTTGTGCAACTTAATCTGTATTGTACGGAAAAGGCATTAAATATAAATATATAAAACAGATAGGCAAATATCAATCAACAAACCTTATGATACTGCGCTTTCACAAAACTTTCGAAAGTAATACCACAAATGTTACATACGCATGGTACATGGCAATGTTCGATGTGACGACGTAGGAAGAGTCCATTAGCAAATTCCTTCGTACAGTAAGAGCACTTAATATTGGATAATCCGCTCGATGGATTGTCCTGTGGCTGCAAGATCTGCGGTACTGCTTTCAATGAATCGTGTATAACGGAACTCTTCACTGGTGTCGAAGCTGAATTATCTACACTGCAATTCGCTGATGATTCATCAGAATCCATCTTCACGGCACTGTTTTGCTTTTGCTCCTCATTGCCTTCGATATTATCATTTTTTAAAGGTCTCTTACCATGATGGGATCGTAGCTTGTGCCGTTTGACACCGATTGGGTTTTTGAACTTTCGACCACACAATTCACATGCATTTTTCCTTCCTGCGCAAGCTAACTTATGTAATTTAAACTTATTTTTCAGGTGAAACATCCTAAAACAATGAGGACATTGGAGCTTTCCATCCGTGTGCTTTTTCAGCTATAATAAAAAAAAACAATATTACCAAGAGAAAATTAGAAGGTCAATTTCAATCAACGAACTTTATGATATTTGGCCTGGGAATAACTGGTCAAAGTACTTCCACAAATGTCGCACAAATATGGCTGGTTTGGCGGATGTTCAGCAAATGTTTGCGAAATGTTCTCTGACCGGACTTGTACTTCAGAATTATCGTTTGAAGTAGCAACAGGAATCACCTTACACTCCTTGTTGATTATGTGACTATCCGTAGCATCATTGCAGTCTAAGTCGGCAAATGCTTGTTCACTTGATTGAGGATCTAAGAGAAAATAAATGTTTTTTTTTTAATTAATTTACGAAGCAAACTCTGTTCAGTGTAACAAACTTACCAACTTTAGTGGATGGATTTATCGATGATTTTCCTTCGTGTGACAGTAGCGTTGATGCCTTTACTTTTCTTTCCATTTTGATATCATTAGTTTGGGCTCGTTTTTGATGTTCTTCGTCATTATCTTGATGAGTTCGTGGTTTAAATGTTATGCGATCCGCTTCTAGGTCGCTCCAGTCCGATGTTACCGTTTGATCCCTGGTCTTACAATGACTGATGGCATGATCATGCTTGAGCTTTTCGGATCGGAAGCTTTCTCCACACTCAGGACACCGCAGGAAGAAGCCATCGTGAACGTCCTTTAATGGGAATCAATTATTTGTCTTATATCAATAATATTTAAACCCATCACTCACTTGCACGTGCTTCCAGTAGAGATTCTCCAAATAAGCACGTTGGTCATTGCAGAGTGCGCATTGATACAATTTGTCCTTAGCTTTTATTTCCTGATAGTGCAACTCCTTACTTTCATCTGCAATCTTTTGATGAAAACAACATAGGGGAATGGATCGACTATAACATTGATTTCGTCTTACCTCATGCAGGTCCAGATGATTCCAAATGCCTTCCTTGCTCACGTAATCATCGTAGCATATGTCGCACCGGAACATCAACCGTACCACGCATATCTCTCGATGCAGTTCCAACTCGCCCCCCTGGTGCTCCTCAAGGCAACTTGGCTTAGACATTTGGCAGATTTGATACACTGTATTTGTCCCGTTTAAAGCAAGAATTGCTTGAAGAATAATCTTAAAAGTACGGAAATTGAACACGAATAATTTGAATGCAATAATTACAGTAGCTAACCTAATAAATATACATAATAACTTAAATAATAAGTCGAATCGATCTTCCACAAAATTGTATTTCATAGTTTTTCCAATATTAATTTTGGTTTTGAGCAATTTTTGAATTTTTGACATATAACTGAATCGTTTCATTTCGTTTCCCATATAAATTTTAAATTTCTATCGTAAACCCAGATCGTAATCAAATTTGTTCAAATTTGACACAGTTGTTGGGTAACTACCACGAACGCAGCTGTTTCATCGGCAGCGCTTCTTGGGATGTATGAACAACATCTACAAAGGGGACAAATGAATCGAGATTGATCTTCGTAAAATGCCAAGGCATTCCATTTCAGAAAGGAATTCGTATTCTCGTCGATGGAAATGCGAAATAGGCTGCCGCTAGTAGCAGAACAATAGCCTACCAACTCAGCCTTCAAGGAGCATTAAACTTACCGTGTTGAAGTACTTTTATTTTCTGTAGTTATCAAAGCAGATTCCAAATGTATTATAGACTAAATAAAGCACAATAATTATTACAATATTCTTTCTATAAGAAAAATCTGCCTGCCTGATAATCAAACCAAAACAATAAAATTTAAAAACAAAAATATGATTACTGTTTACATTCAGCATGCAAACACTTTCTATACGGTAACAGAAAATAACTCACCGACCGATAGTGTTTTACCATAACGGTAAAGCAAATTTAATACACTCATAAAAATTGTATGGTAGCACGTACAATTCCAAAGTGTTCACTTGTACCAACAATCAATACGAAACTAACGATTTTAAATTGGCTCACCACTTTAGTAGCCTATTGGTCCCAAGCAAACGATTAACGTATCCTATTCTAGTTGAAATTCTATTACTACACTATGTTTGTTTTGATTCGCTATGAAAGTTTGACAGATAACATCAGGGGTGTGTGGATTCATGCAGAACATGCAGAGGTGAGTGAAATAGCTTGGGACTGCTTGGGACCGTTGTTCTGGTACTGAGTGAGCCAAAAATAATAATGATTTTCTTCGGGACCCAGTGGTCTTAGAGTTACCTCTATGCTTGTACCATGCCAGCAAATATATTATATTAACAACCCTAATAAACCGTTACCATACACTAACTATATCATAGATGGTACGACCATACAACATAAAGTTGGGATGATATTCCGAATTGGTGGTTAGGCGCTTCTTATGGTTATTGTTTATGCGGGAATATGATCCACTTTTTCGCTTAGCTGGCGAACCGAATTTTTAGCGATGGAAGCACCTCTGTGCACAGCAAAAAAAATGTAATATCGATCAATGTAATTCAAGCTGATGCATGAAATAATGATTTAATAGCAAAAAGCAGATACAATATTACACCATTGGATGTAATTTTGTTCGCAAAATCGATGTACATCGTACAACGTTATATTACACAACCGATGGATTGACCTGGTTGCAGCAGTTTGTATGTAATATTCAACAACTTTTTTTTCTGTGTTTAATATAAATTTTTCAAATAAATGTATTTCAGCATTTTATTTTATTTGATGACAACAGTGACATGTCAGACAAAATTTAAAGTAATATACACAATATAAGTTATGAAAATATTCAAAGTGTTTTTTATGTTACTTCATACGCGAAGTTAACGATTTTCAGAGTTGGTTGGAAATGCTAACATGAAGCTTTAGTGTGATGATTTATTAGCTAGAGAATGATCTTTAGAAGAATGTAGGTGGATAGTTCCGTTAGAGTACGGCAGTATGAAAATTGAATAGAAGTTGAAAATGAGCGAAGGGCCATTAAAGCGACAGTTTTCAAGATGACGCACATTTTTGCCTAGCCCGTACGATGTACGCGGGGACTTGAAGTATGTCTCCAAGTCACAGGCCTGTTAAATTATTCTTTTGCACGTAAATGGAATCAAAAATAAAACAAGAACAAAATGTGAAAAGGGCATACAAGCTTTTTGTAAACAAACATTCTTATGCCCTTTTCTCACCACCCATATGACACCAACGCAAACCATCAACATCGCCGGATAGGGGAAGGTTTCCCCTTCCCGATGATGTTGTTAGTTTGCGTGAGCGATCCTCGGTTGGCGAGAAAAGGGCCTACAAATGTTTGTTTACAAAAAGCTTGTATGCCCTTTTTATATGTGGCTCTTGAAAAGTCATTTGAAATGCTAGCTTCTAGCAAGGGTTGCAAGATAATTGTTAACGGTATCGAGTGGACTGTAAATTTTGGGGGTTCGGTTTCTACGAACAATCAATAGTCAATCTAATAAAAAGCGTCTCGATTCTCATGACTATGGAGCACAACTAACTTTATTCGGTCAAACAAAAGAACAGAAAAGGACTGTGTGTTGTAATTGAATTGTTATCGCACAGGGTGTGCCAAAGTCTTGCGGTTGGGGAGCGCAGTAGGGATGCGCAAATCATCGAACATGCTCCCCGGCGTTGAAATGCCGATTTCAAGTCTCATGGACAAATGGCAGCAAACAGACCTCCGTCACAGCACGCTTGAACTCTCCTCCATTTGCTGTTTTCACCGTAACGACACGTGTCACGCTATCCTGTCCGGGGTGCACGGCTGAAATCCTTCCTAGTGGCCACTGCAGCGGCGGTGCGTTCTGGTCCACAAGCAATACTAGCGAACCCTCTTTGATTTCGTTCGTTTTCAGCCACTTGGATCGAGTCTGGAGTTCCGGCAGGTATTCCGCTGTCCATCGTTTCCAGAAGTGCTGCAGCATGGTCTGCACGAGCTGCCACCTTGATAAAGTGTTCTCCTTCAAATGCAAGTACGACGGTTCAGCAATGGCTTGCATCTCGCGGCCTACCAAGAAGTGAGCAGGTGTTATAGCTGTGTAGTCGTTTGGGTCATCCGAGCTAGGCGCCAGGGGTCGAGAGTTTAATACAGCTTCGATTTGAGTCAGCGTAGTATACAGCTCCTCGAAAGTCAATTTCCGGTCTCCGACAATACGCTTGAGATGATGTTTCACTTGTTTAACGCCAGCTTCCCAAATGCCACCGAAGTGTGGACTTCGCGGTGGGATAAAGGACCATTCGATTCCCTTGTTGGTACAGTACCTCACGATCTTTCCTGTAGAACATTGGTTCTGGAACAGTAGCCACAGCTCATGCAACTCGGTCTTGGCTCCGACAAAGTTTGTTGCATTGTCAGAGCGCATTGTTTTCGGATACCCACGTCGGCTGTGGAATCGTCTCAAAGCAGCAAGAAACGCGGCCGTCGTCAAGTCGGAGACTAATTCCAGATGTATGGCACGGGTTTGCATACACACAAAGAGACTCACGTAGGCCTTGGTAATATAGGGCTTACGAGCAGTAGACGATGACTTAAGCCAAAAAGGCCCAGCGTAGTCCACACCAGTGTCCGAAAAGGCTGGAGCAGGTCGGATACGATATGATGGCAAGTCACCCATCATCTGAGTTGTCTTCAACGGATTTGCTCGAAAGCACACCATACAATTTCGAATCACCTTGCGAATTGTATTTTTCACGTTCAATGGCCAGAATCGTTGTCGTACGATGGCAAGTAGACCTTTCTGCCCGATGTGAAGGTTCTCTAGATGTAGGTGTCGGACGAGTGCTTCCGTGATCGGGTGCTTTGCTGGCAGCAACATCTGGTGTCGACTATCGTATGGTATGAACGCTCGCTTGATTCGACCTCCGACTCGTAACACGCCGTCTTCCGGGTCCAAAAACGCTTTCAATCCGTTGAGTCGATGCTTTGCGTCCGTGCCGCTCATCAGGGCGAGAATCTCTGGTTGAAACGTTTCGTGTTGAACCAACCGTACAATCACTATTGTTGCCCGCTTTATTTCTTCAGCAGTGAGCGGGCCCTTTAACAACTCCTTCTTCCTGGATATGATGAACATCGCAAAGCGTACCAGGTAGGCTGTGCTACGCACAACCTTCGTGAAATCGCTAATCTTGTCAAACATTGGCATTCTTTTGGTGAGAGCAGTCACAGCCAGTACTACGCCAGCACGCATTTCCGGTAACTCTTCATCCGGAATAGCTACTACATCTGTCATCTCTACAACAGAACCGTTGAATGTGGGTGGGCCAGTCCACCACATCTTAGACTCGAGTATTTTTTTCGGTCGCTCTCCTCGGGATATAAGGTCGGCCGGATTCTCGTCCGTAGGAATATATTTCCAGCTGCAATTCGGGGTAAGTTTTTGTATTTCACTTACACGATTCGAAACGTAGGTATGTAAGACGTTCGGTGGTTTGCTGATCCACGCTAACACTATTTTTGAATCACTCCACAGATTCGTCGACGCGAAGTCTAATTCCGTAGCGTCCTGCAACTTCACAGTCAGCTTGGCGAGTAACAAGGCCGCCAACAGTTCAGCACGAGGAGTCGTGACAGCCTTAGTTTTCGCCCTCTTCATCGGTAGAATGCGGGATTTACTGCAAACCAGTTTCATCTGAGCGGATCCGTCTGGAAAAACTGCTCGTGTATAGAGGCACGCTCCGTACGCCACGTCGGAGGCGTCCGCAAATCCATGCAGCTCAAACTTGAACGCACCATTCCAGGAAATCCACCTTGGCATTCGCACCTTGTTAAGGACGGCTATTTCTGTGCGAAAATTTAGCCACTTGGATCTCACTTCAGAAGGGACTGGCTCGTCCCAATCAATCTGCATTTCGCCAACCTCTCGCAGAATCAGCTTTGCAGTTGTAATCACGGGGCCGAAGAAGCCCAGCGGATCGAAAATCTTGGCCAGCTGGCTTAGAAGCTTGCGACGAGTCACTTCATCCAAAACGTCGTATTCCGGAACCGATACAGAAAACCAATCGTCGACCGGATCCCAGGTCATGCCAAGAGTCTTCACGATCGACTTCGAATTTTCGTCAGATACTACGAACGAGTTTCCTCGTAGCTCTTCAGAAACACCTTTCACAATATCGGGGTGGTTGGCACACCACTTATGAGCGCCAAAGCATCCCTTCGCCAGCAGATCCGTCACTTCTCGTTGGAGCTTGCATGCTTCAGCTAGCGTATCGGCACCTGTTAGGATGTCGTCCATGTACGTCCCTTTTTCGACGATATTTGCGGCTTCCGGAAATTCCTCCTTGTGATCAACTGCAGTTTGCTTGAGCGCCATCGTTGCTTGGAACGGTGATGATGCCAGGCCATACGTAACCGTCTGCAGCTCTCGGACGGTCAGGATGTCATCTTTGTTGTACCTCCAAAAAATGCGTAGGTACCTTGTATCTAACCAATGTACGCCAACTTGACGAAACATTTTTGGAATGTCCAGCGTAAAGACGAACTGGAATCCTCGGAAACGAAGCAAAATCGCGATGAGATCACTCTGAACACTTGGTCCAGTCATCAGTATATCGTTGATCGATACACCCGAGGACGTTCTAGCCGACCCATCAAATACAACTCTTAATTTGGTCGTCGTACTGGTGGGTCTCAGCACACAGTGGTGTGGCAAATAGTACACCGATCCTGGTTCCTCCGTTGTCTCCTGAATCTCTCGCATGTGCCCGAGTTGTTCGTACTCTCGGATGAACAGCGAGTACTGCTCCTTTAATTCTGGTTGCTTGTCTAGCTTCCGCTCCAGGTGCAGAAAGCGTTTCAGCTCCATTTCACGTGAATCTCCTAGTTCGTGCTTGCGTTCGTTAAAGGGGTGACGCACAATGTACCGCCCTTCCTCATTTCGTAGGTGTGTGCGACGGAAATGTTCGACACACTTCTCTTCATCCGCTGTAGCGGATGGGCGAATTTCATCACAAGCCTCCACCCTGTAGAAGCTCTTCAGCAGATCGATGATCGGGTCGTCGTCAGTTGTTTGACAGAAAGTGCGCGCAACGACAGGTGCATCGCTCGCGATTATTCCTCCAGCAATCCATCCCAGCTTCGTGTTTCGTAGTATTGGAAGATTCGAACCAAGTTCGATTTGGCCATCCTCCATCAGGTTCCAGAAGTATTCAGCGCCGATTAACATATCGACACGTCCTCGATTGTTGAACGTCGGATCGGCCAGCACCTGCTCGCTCGAGATGGGCCACTCCGAAACATCGAATGATTTCACCGGCAGATCACCAGTGATTCGTGGGGTAACCAGTAGATCTAGGTCAGTAGTGAAGTCAGCGTGACAAGACCTAATCGTGGTGCGCAGCATACGGCAAATCCTAGTTTTCTTGCCGTTCAGACCGCTAACCGTGAAGTTAGCAGGTACCATTTTCAGTGAGAGTAGGTTCGCAAATCGTTCTGTCACAAAATTCATTTGCGAAGCGGAATCCAGAAGCACACGACATGGATATGGAGTGCTGCACAAGCCGTTGACCAAAACAACGGCAGTAGAAAGCAGGGTCTGCTTCTCGGAATTCTCAGCACACAGGGTTGTTGACGTTCCTGCTGTAGTGCTGGTCATCAGGTTTCCAGCTGGTTTTACGACTGGCGTGGAAGAATCAGTCGTATTTGAGGAAGTGGAGCTGTTCACGTTTTTAAATGCGTCTTCAACGTGGAGCGTAGTGTGATGTTTCTTGCCACATTCCCGACAAGAACGTGACGATGCACATGCACTGGTTCGGTGGCCTCTCCCTAAGCAGTTGAAGCAGGCGCCGCACCTTTTTAGCACTTCGTATTTCTCACTGACACTTTTGTTTTTGTAGGCCTCGCACTTCCAAAGTTCATGGCTTGCCTTACACACTGGACATTTGTATTCAAACTTGTCATTCTTCATATCACTTGTCACTAGCGTATGGCTCCTAGCCATCGCTTTCGGTTTAGCACTCTCCGTCAACGGCTTCATACTCGCGTCGAGCTTTTCGTAAATTCGACACTGCTCTTGCAGAAAGTCTATCGTTGCAGCGTACGTCGATAGCACATTCTTCTTCTGACGGGCTTCCCAGGCCACCCGGAGCCTTTTATCCATCTTCGCTGCGATAAGATTCACCAGCATCTGTTCTCCGAGTCCATCCACCGGTAAGTTCTGATGCCGCAAGCCCTCCACGTTCTTGGTGCTGCTGTCGATCAATTTCCTCATGTTCGCTGCGTTCTCCTGGCTAACCTTCGGCAGGTTGAATAGATTTTCAACGTGTTTGTCAACAACGACACGTTTATCTTCGTACCGCTGTGTAAGCAACATCCATGCGGCATCATAATCATTATTATTTATCAAATCTTCGTCGATGATGCCAGCTGCTTGCCCGACAAGACTGTTTCGCAGATGGAACAGTTTCAATGCTGGTTCCTCCTGCTGGTAGCGGTTCATCACGGTGGTAAACAAAGACTTGAACGAATACCACTTTTCGTAAGAGCCGTCGAATGTCGGCAAGGGCACTTGTAGCGGTGGGAGATACGGATGGATTGGAAACGGTGGAACTGGATTCGGATGTCCGACCGGGAGAATCAGATCAGTTTCTGTTTTCGTCACCGCCTCGATCAACATACACAATTGAACGGAAACGTCGTTGTATAGCGACTCGAATTCGATGTAGCTCTCGGTTTCTTCTTCTTGGCGGTCTTCAGAGAGTGGTAGTACATAAATCTGATTCTGAATACTATTGCACTCGTTATAACAGTTCTCTACAGTCTTTTTGTGGAACTGAAGAAAATGAATGTTTCTAATGTTCGGATTCGGTTGATCCGCACTGTACTGCAAAGCAGTGTTAACACGGGCCAGTTTGCCATGAACTGCCACTCTCTGATTGACTAGCCCCTTGAGCTGCTCTTCCATCCTTTTATTTTCTTCTTTCTTTTTCTTCTCCACTTTTTGTTCAGCAACAGGTGTAGCTGGCTGTACAGGCGTTCTCGGTGTCTTTGGTGGCATCTTCTTTTTCACTCGCGCACACAACTAAACCGCCATTTGCAAAAAAATCCCGCTTTAGCTGTACGAATTTTTAGAAAAGGGCACTAATGCACTTGAAAACGCCTTAGCGTCGGAAACGTTTCGGAACGGATCAGATAGGAATTCTTCTTTCACTTTTCACATGTAGCGACCGCTTTGAGCCAAGCTGCTAGCGCGTCACTAACACCGGTTCGACCGCAGTACAAAACCGATGCTCGGATCGAAATTCACGTACTTTATTCACGTAAACCGCGTCGAAATCCACCGGTTTCTGAGGATCCGGCTCGAAGGACCACTTTGTTAACGGTATCGAGTGGACTGTAAATTTTGGGGGTTCGGTTTCTACGAACAATCAATAGTCAATCTAATAAAAAGCGTCTCGATTCTCATGACTATGGAGCACAACTAACTTTATTCGGTCAAACAAAAGAACAGAAAAGGACTGTGTGTTGTAATTGAATTGTTATCGCACAGGGTGTGCCAAAGTCTTGCGGTTGGGGAGCGCAGTAGGGATGCGCAAATCATCGAACAATAATTTAGGAACAAATCCCTGCTGCCGAATTGTATTCTGTTTTCTCCGCCTATCTCTCCCTCTGAGTATTTCTACTCTACACGAATGGGTACAGAGAGAGGTGAAGCAGATCGTGAAATATGGTTGTATTAGTAAACCAAAAATCAAAGTAAACGCCCAATTTTAGATCCATAGGCCAACATTAGAGCCTTTTTCCCCTAGTTAGGGTTGATGCATTTCCCCCCTACTCTGCGAGTCACGTGACTCTCTCTCTCACCGGTGAGGTGACAATAGTCACCTCGTGTGCGGTGACTCTCCATTCACGCAGAAAAATTTACCGTCGAAACAAAAATATTTGAGGTAAATTTAAACGTAAACTCAGTTTGTTCTGGCCACAAACATAAACTAGGTTGATTTCAAACGTATTCTATGTTTGAATTCATTGATAATAATGTTTAAAACAAAAATAATGTTACGTTTATTTTAAAAATATTCGTGTTGAAAATAAACGTGAATATTTTTGATTTATTTGAAAACTATATGCGATCAAAAATTAATATGTTTATTTTAAACATGCTTTTCATGTTTAAAATAAACAAACATATTTTGAAATTATTTGGCATTTGAATGCTGAATAAATCAAAATAAAATTGATAGCAAATAAATAGAAATTTCTGCTATTATGGAAAGTCTGTGGATGTTTGGATCCGGGGGGCCGTCGGGGTGGGTGTCCGATCAGACCCAGTTCAGTAAAACCGGTGAAACTTTGTGATATTAGCGTCATTTTTCGTTTCTGACGCTGGTCCGCATACCGGCCTCTTTCTAAGTTTAGTGTTCGGGGATGATCTGCTTTTCTTTCGACGTCGGGTGGGGGGTGAGGATGATATGGGGATCAGCATCAGAAACGACGGATTGACGTTAATATTGTGATGTTCCACCGGTTTTGTCGAGCTTGGAGCACTTGCTTGCGTTGGTTTCCGGACCCTCTACTTTGGTTTCGCCGCTTGCAGGCCGTTTTCGGTTAAGTTTGCCGAATGTAAACAAGAAGGAAAAAATGACACGCTAAAAATTGATTACCCAGATTATGTATTGTTGAAATAAACATGCTTTTGAATTTAATTTAAACATACATATTTTTGTTGAAAACATGTTTTTAATTTACTTTGAACTATTCATATTTTTATTTAATAAACATATATATTTTTAACTTAAATGAAGAAAATTTGGTTCCGTGTTTGATTTGCATGGAGAGTCACCTCATACGAGGTGACAATTGTCACCTCACCGGTGAGAGAGAGTCACGTGACTCGCAGAATAAGGGGGTGTATCACACTCTAAGGGAGAGGGGGTCTAAGATTTTGTGACAAGCAATGCATTAGGTATAGGAAAGATGTCACGATGGGGGGGAGGGGGTAATTTTTTGCTCGATTTAGCGTGACATAATTAATGCATGGGCCCTTATCAGAATAATTCAGGGGATAACTCCACAACAAACTTTGGTAAAATTTCAAGACAGTTTACAGTTCAATTGCAAATTGGAATTTTTGGAAATTATAGATAGAATATAATGACAAGCTTAAGCGAATTGTTTGAAGAATAAATTAAAAATGCTAAGAGCATTTAGTAATATTTAGTATTCTGCAGAGAATTTTGGGATTGTTATAAAGAGAAGTACTAAGGAATATCAGAAAGACTCTCAAGGAAGGAGCGTGATTCTAAGGAAAATCTTGAGAGCATAACAAAGTAATCCTGTAATCTTTATTAAATAGGTTTTCAGCATCCTGATGTAAAGAGTTTTGAATGAATTTTAAAGTTATATGGAACAAAGACAGTTGAAGATTTTGGATAAGATTCATAATGGAATTAAAAGGAAAAGTATTCATAACGGAATTAAAAGGAAATAACTCAACCAGCTCGAAAGTATAGTCGCTATATTTAGCTATAATATAGCCACTATACTAGAAAGCTCATCATAAGGGGATTCCGTTAAGAGGTTCGAAATCATTCAAAGCGTTCAACCCAATTTGTTATTATATAAATAGGAATATACGAGTGTGATTTTATATGGAGTTTCACAGTACATACAAACCAAATAAAGATTTTTGAATAGATGAGTTTAAGTTTCAGAACTACTAAAAAACATATTTACCGCTTCATAAATTAATTAATATTCATCATAACCTGAGATAAAAAAAATGTTGAACAAGTTATATTTTACAAAAAGAAGCACCGTTGCCTACTGGTAATTCTAAGCATCGTTTTGAATACTTATTCGCTTTGATCTACGGAGTTCGGAACAATCCGAAGAAGTTTTTTTACGTTGCGAATGAGGTTGATTCTTGACGACTTGGGAATCGACATCCATGTGATTCTGGAAAACGCGTTGATTACGGAGTGGTTGCTTGGAACGAAGTTCAGTATGTTTCGTCATCTGCGAATTGTTTGATAGCAACCTTAGTTAGTACATATTATATCACATTTTTATTGTAGAACGTACCTTATGATGATTCAGCTGACGATTTGAAAAAAACTGGAGACCACACTTGTTACAGAGTAGCTCTGAGGAAGTATTTACAGACTCCTTGTCTAGCATCGTTCCATGAATCATCTCGTGACGACGTAGAGCAAAAGCTGAATGAAACATCTTTGTACATTGGGAACATTTGTACTGTGGTTCTGTATGAGACACGATCTAAATAAAAATACTAACTATTTAAATTCTGCAATTGCTTAGTCAAGTAGAGCTTCATCCTACCATGTGATATTTCATTTTGTATTTTCTAATGATTAGTCCACAAATGGAGCACGGATCACCAACTTCATGATTCGATAGAAGCTCTGAAGAAGGAAGGATATACTTCTTGCTTCGACTCCTGCTGTGAGACATCTCGTGACGACGTTGCCTATTAACGAAATGAAACGTCTTGGGACATTGCGAACATTTATACCGTGGTTCTGTATGAAATGTAATCTGAAAAAAAAACAAACACTTTAAATTCTGAAATTTCTTAACCAAGTAATGTATCAATTAACCATGTGGTATTCCATTTTGGGTTTGGTCGCAAAGGTAAGTCCACAAATAGAACACGGACCAAACTGGCCATCAACTTTATGACGTACAAGGGCCTCGTTTCGATCGCTGGAATCTCCACTACAATCCGCAGATTCCGTTTTGCTCTGATCTACAGTTAGGAAATCCTCTTCTTGTTCTATGTATTCCTCTTTGACTTTGATTGCATTTTCAAGAGTTGCATCTTCAGCTTCAACGTCCTTCGATGTATCATTCTCCGGATGCTAGATGGGAAATTTAGATGAAATTAACGGTTGACTTCGTGTACAAATTTCTTAACGTATGGATGGGGAGGAGGTATTGGAAAATAAATCCACGCGACCCTTGTACCTATCTATAACTTAATAAAAACTTTTCAAACTGCTAATTAAGATTTTTCTTCAATCTTGAAAAAGGAAGTTCGGATGAGTTGGCGCTACGTAATTTTAGAGGAGGGTAGCCTTGTCAAGTGTTACTTATAGTTACATAGCGGGGGGAGGGGTCCAAAATAAATGTAAAATGTACAGCTGAACAATTTTTTTGTCACTGATACTTCTGTTTTTAAGTCTAAGTCAAGAAAATTTAAAAACCTTAAAAAAAAATGATATATTCAGCCAAGGTGTCTCGCCCCCTGGAAAATTGTTTTACTTTGAGATGTTCCTGCACCGTGAGAATTTTCGCAGGAAACATTTTTCAGATAATATTTTTGTTGGGTTCCAACGTTCTTTCTGCAATGCATCTGCATGAGCCCTCTGGATTCTATCGGAAGAGACTACAGGAGTGTACTTAAAAAAGAAATTTGTTGACGACGCTCAAGGACTTAATTCACTTTACGATAGTAGGTAAAGAAGTGCCGAAGCCGTTTTTACCCCTATTTAAATCTGAACTGCAAAATAAACTCATTTGGAAAGTGTTTTGATTCTGGATCACAGAAATCAATGTATCAAAGCAACCATTGACTGCGAGGCACCAAATAGTTATGATTCATTCAAAGTGTAACTGTCAACCAGGCTAGAAGCAATTTTAATTAAAGAAGATTAAGTAAGACACAATTTGACTTATTTTCGAAAGTTTCTCGAAGAACACTTCAAATTCATTCCACTTTGTTCATTTAGGCCTAATCACAGCGAACAGACGTCCAACTTCAGTCAGAAATTTGTGTAAAGGTAAGTGATTACATCGCCGTTACGTGACGCGAGCATCCATTGATTTCCTCTCTCAATTTGGCACTTGGCGCTATAGTATCGACGCCAACGCCATCATGTTGCTAAAAAGGTTGCAAGTGGGGAACATGGCGTAGGCTGCGCTTGAGTGCTTTGTGAATCTTTA